TGCATTTCTATACACCAACAACAAGACAGAAGAAAGAGAAATTAAGGAGTCAATCCCATTTACAATTGCACCCAAAACCATAAGATACCTAGGAATAAATCTAACCAAAGAGGCAAAGAATCTGTACTCAGAAAACTATAAAACAGTCATGAAAGAAATTGAGGAAGATACAAAGAAATGGAAAAACGTTCCATGCTCGTGGATTGGAAGAACAAATATTGTGAAGATGTCAATGCTACCTAGAGCAATCTACACATTTAATGCAATCCCTATCAAAATACCATCAACTTTTTTCAAAGAAATGGAACAAATAATCCTAAAATTTCTATGGAACCAGAAAAGATCCCGAATAGACAAAGGAATGTTGAAAAAGAAAAGCAAAGCTGGTGGCATCACAATTCTGGACTTCCAGCTCTATTACAAAGCTGTCATCATCAAGACAGTATGGTACTGGCACAAAAACAGACACATAGATCAATGGAACAGAATAGAGAGCCCAGAAATGGACCCTCAACTCTATGGTCAACTCATCTTCGACAAAGCAGGAAAGAATGTCCAATGGAAAAAAGACAGTCTCTTCAACAAATGGTTTTGGGAAAATAGGAGAGTCACATGCAGAATAATGAAACTGGACCATTTTCTTACACCACACACAAAAATAGACTCAAAATGGATGAAAGACCTAAATGTGAGACAGAAGTCCATCAAAATCCTAGAGAACACAAGCAGCAACCTCTTCGACCTCAGCTGCAGCAACTTCTTCCTAGAAACATCACCAAAGGCAAGGGAAGCAAGGGCAACAATGAACTATTGGGACTTCATCAAGATAAAAAGCTTTTGCACAGCAAAGGAAACAGTCAACAAAACCAAAAGACAACGGACAGAATGGGAGAAGATATTTGCAAATGACATATCAGATAAAGGGCTAGTATCCAAAATCTATAAAGAGCTTATCAAACGCAACACCCAAAGAACAACTAATCCAATCAAGAAATGGGCAGAAGACATGAACAGACATTTCTCCAAAGAAGACATCCAAATGGCCAACAGACATATGAAGAAATGCTCAACATCACTCGGCATCCAGGAAATACAAATCAAAACCACAATGAGGTATCACCTCACACCAGGCAGAATGGCTAAAGTTAACAATTCAGGAAACGACAGATGTTGGCGAGGATGTGGAGAAAGGGGAACCCTCCTACACTGTTGGTGGGAATGCAAGCTGGCGCAGCCACTCTGGGAAACAGTATGGAGTTTCCTCAGAAAGTTGAAAATAGAGCTACCATACAACCCAGCAATTGCACTACTGGGTATTTACCCCAAAGATACAAATGTAGTGATCCAAAGGGGTACGTGCACCCCAATGTTTATAGCAGCAATGTCCACAATAGCCAAACTGTGGAAAGAGCCCAGATGTCCATCAACAGATGAATGGATAAAGAAGATGTGGTATATATATACAATGGAATATTATGCAGCCATCAAAAAAAAAAAACAAAAAACAAAAAAAAACAAGATCTTGCCATTTGCAACGACGTGGATGGAACTAGAGGGTATTATGCTGAGCAAATAAGTCAATCCGAGAAAGACATGTATCATATGATCTCACTGATACGAGGAATTCTTAATCTCAGGAAACAAACTGAGGGTTGCTGGAGTGATGGGGGGGGAGGGTTAGGGTAGCTGGGTGATAGACATTGGGGAGGGTATGTGCTATGGTGAGCGCTGTGAATTGTGTAAGACTGATGAATCACAGACCTGTACCTCTGAAACAAATAATATATTATATGTTAAAAAGAAAAGAAGATAGTAGGAAGGGAAAAATGAAGGGGGGGAAATCGGAGGGGAAGATGAACCATGAGAGACTATGTATGGACTCTGAAAAACAAACTGAGGGTTCTAGAGGGGAGGGGGGGTGGGGGGATGGGTTAGCCTGGTGTTGGGTATTGAAGAGGGCATGTATTGAATGGAGCACTGGGTGTTATACGCAAACAATGAATCATGGAACACTACATCAAAAACTAATGATGTAATGTATGGTGATTAACATAACATAATAAAGTAAAATTTAAAAAATAAAAATAAAAGTGCCAGGTGAATTCATTAACAACAGAGATTTTTAAAAGATAATACTCAAAATTGGTGAGCAGGTTTTGAAATAGGCACTCTCGTTCCCTGCTGGTAAAATATGTAAATTGGTACCACTTCTCTTGAAATCAATTGGACAGTACAAGTCAAGACCCTTAAAACATTCATTATCTTCTCACCTAGTAATTATACTTCTGGGAATCAAGCCTAAGAAAATAATGCAAAATATTTATAAAAGCTTTATGCAGAACGATGTTATTGCTGTAATATTTTAATTGCAACAACAAAAAAAAAAACAGTGGAAACAGCACTGAAATGTATAACACTTTTAATAACACAAGGAAGTGTTTCTCTTAAAATATTAATAAAAACTGAATGCAAAATGATACAGTGTGATTGTAGATAGGTAGATAGATGATTAGATAGATTAAATAGATAGATGATAGATAGATAGATAGATAGATAGATATAGTTAGTTAGATAGATAGATGATAGACAGACCTGTAATATATATATATATGAAAGAAACTCACCAAAATGTTATTAGTGGTTGCCTTTGGGTATTGGGATTTAGGGTTCAATCTGAATCATAACCTCACTTATGGCCCAGAAGACAGGATCGTTGACCATAAATAAGGAGACATGTTTGCTCAACAACCAAAAATAATCATGCGTTACAGAGTGATGAATCAAGCTCAGCAGCCTTGAAAGATGAAAAATATTTTGCCATGTAAAGCAGGGACTTCAGAGGTTAAATGTGTCATTTATCACCACCCCTCTAAGCACCCTAAAATTAGTGTTAATGGATAAAACCTGTATTGGATGAAGAGAACAGGAGAAGGGATTACAGTAACAAAATCTCGGAATCTAGAAAATAGACAAAAAAGTAATCTTGGTACTTTCCCAGGGAGAAGCCAAGAAGCAAGCAGATTCACACAGCAGGACCCTGGAAGCCTCTGGAATAGGAGCCACTAGGCACTTCTGAAGGTGGAGGGCAGGTGAGCTAGAAACAGGAGGATAAATGGGTCAAAAGTCTGTATAAAAAGCAAGGATACCTCCATAGCCCCTTTCTATCCCAACCCCACCTAATGCCAACCACTCCTCCTTTACCTCAGGAGAAACTGGAGGTGTACTCTGGAGAATTTACCAGAGGGACTAAACCCTGAGGGACCAAGCACAGCTTGGGTAAGGGTGGGGTAATAAACCGACTTAAGTCAGATTAACAGATTGGAACACTCTCAGTCCCCTTCCTCCACATAGTTTCCTGAAAGTTGGTAGCTTTTCATAGGCCAGGCAGGAAATTAGAGGCATCCTTCCTGAGGAAGACCCTACCCAAGAAAAAAGGCCTAAAGATACTGACATTTGAGGTCCCCCAATAAAAACAGCATATTCACCAGATTATTCTATAGTGAGACTCAGCAGGGGAAAAACCCCCTGCTGTACACACACACACTCACTTTCCAATCAGCTTCTTAGTGACTTACTCTTAAATATTAACCAAAGATCAAGAACCACAGACATTTGAGGGAAGCCTCTGGCATAAAGGACAGAGATAAGACAAACCAGGAAAAATGCAGCTGAGAGGAAACAGAAATGATGATGGAAATGGAAGAATTGTTAAAGCCATGAAATATTGTGTCTTGAAACAAGAACAAGAGACTATTCTTTTAAAAAGTATCCAGAGTGGGGCGCCTGGGTGGCTCAGATGGTTAAGCGTCTGCCTTCGGCTCAAGGTCATGATCCCAGGGTCCTGGGATCAAGCCCCACATCGGGTTCCTGGCTCAGCGAGGGGCCTGCTTCTCCCTCTCCCTCTGCCTCTCTCCCTGCTTGTGCTTTCTCTCTCTCTCTCTCTGTATCTCTGTGTCTCAAATGAATAAATAAAATATTTTTTTAAAAAGTATCCAGAGTTACTAAAATGTATGCAATTTTTAAAAAACTAAATAATAAGATTGGATAGCAAAGTTTAGGAAAATCTCAGAAAGTCAAAAAAAAAAAGAGAGAGAGAGAGACAGAAGTCAGATGAAAAATAGAATGAAATACATAGGAAAAAGAAGAGTTCCAGAAAGAGAAAAAATGGAGGGGAGGAAATCATGAAATAAATAGAAAATTTCCTGGAAATTTTCTGAAGAACATGAATTTCTATGCTGAAAGATGCTGCCACATGCCCAATCCAACAGATCCAACACAGCCACATGGAGGCAGAACATGTGATATTGTAGCCTGCTAGAGAGCAAGAGAAGAGCCTAAAAGCTCTGGGGGAAGGGGTAGGAATCAAATAGCATCCAATATCCAGAATCAAAACAGCATTAGACTTCTCAGTAGCAACACTGGAAACCAGGAAATAGTGACACAATACCTTCAAAGTGCTGAGGGAAAATTATTTGCAACCTGGAATTCCATACCCAGCCAAATTATCCATCAAGAATGGGAGTAGACTAATGATGTTTTCAGACATGAAAAGTCTATGCATCCTGTCTCAGGAAATCGCCAGAGGATGTGTTTCACTAAAATGAAGAGGGAAGAAAAGAAGAAGGGAGACAGACCCAGTGTGAACCACAGTCACACCTCTTACTATCTTGCGTGACCTTTTCCAAGTTACTCAACCTCTGAATGGCAGGGTTGTCTCCATTCCGAAACAGGCCTGACCACACCCACTTCCCAGGGTAGCTGTCAACACAGGGAAGCTCCTTCCCATCCTGTGTCCCACCTCCCACGCCCTTGCTAATAGAGGGTTCTTCTAGGATGACCCTACCAGGGCTTCTGAGCTTTGCTGTTTCCTGGACTCCTCTGGCTGTGAGGTCCCAGGAGGTCCCTGGGAGACACCTTCAACCCCCTCCCATTAGTTCAAGAACAGAGACCACACAGGTTTGCATCAACCAGAAAGTCAGCTTTATTAGCCCACCACCAGTGGAGGGGAAGGGGAGACAGCTGGAAACCGCGCTGGGAGAACAGGGCCCTGGCCCAGGCCTTCAGGAGGTTGGGGCCGGCGGGTGGGCAGGAGGCTCTAGAAGAGGCAGCTCAGTGCTTGGAGCTCTGGCCCTGGTTGAAGCTGGATGAGCCCTGCTCCTTGAGGATGGGCCGGGTCTGGTGGCCGGAGGAGGAGGAGGAGGAGGAGGAGAAGACTGTGGGAGAGAGGGGTGGGGGTGAGAAGGGCATTGGGAGCTAAGAGGCCCCACACAGGGAGGGCTGGGGTCTCTGGGGCGCCCAGGACCCTCAGGAGCCTTACCATTGTGGGAAGAATAGGAATGGCTGGACGCTTGCTGGGAGGAAAGGCTGTGGGGAGAAAAGGCAAAGCGGTTAGATGTGCTGGGATCGCAGAGGGGCTGGAGGGAGGTGGAGGGGGCTGGGCACTCACTGGGCGTCCTCGCCCTCCAGCAGGCGGCGGTAGGTGGCGATCTCTTGCTCCAGCCGCGTCTTCACGTCCAGCAGGATCTGGTACTCTTGGCTCTGCTGCTCCATCTCGCAGCGCAGCTGGGCCAGCTGCTCCTCCACGTTGCCAATCAGGTCCTGGATCTGGGCCAGCTGCATGCAGTAGCGGCCTTTGGTCTCCTCCAGGCTGCTCTCCAGGGATGCTCTCTGTGAGCGGGAGAAAGAAAGTCAACAGAGGTGGTCACTCTTGCCCCCCCAGGCCTCTGGGCATGTTTCTTGAGAGGTATATGGATTGTGACTCCACCTGGGCTACTGGTGGGCCAGACAATGTGGAGGAAAGGTATTCCATTGTTCTGGGCCTTAATTTCTGTGTCTATATAATGGATATAATGATCCCTCCAGTCCCACTCCTGGAATAAGTGAGGCAGAACTGTCTTGTGGCAGTGTTAAGGGCCTGGTGGCCCTTACTGGGGACTTGGGGACTGGGGCTGGGCGGGGTCCTTCATACCATGCTGAGCTGGGACTGTAGTTCAATCTCCAGGCCCTGGAGCACCCTCCGGAGCTCGGTCACTTCACTGCGGCCACTCTGCACCAACTCGCTGTTAGAGACCACTTCTTTGTTCAGTTCCTCAGTCTGCGAGAAGAATGAAGAGCAGGTGTGAGACGCTCCAGAGGTGCTCCCTGGCTGGGCAGTCCTGCAGGAGGGCTGAGGACCTGAGCCCCACCTTGCTCAGGAACCAGGCCTCCGCGTCTCTGCGGTTCTTCTCTGCCATCTGCTCGTACTGGTCGCGCATCTCGTTCAGGATGCGGCTCAGGTCCACGCCAGGGGCAGCGTCCATCTCCACACTGACGTCCCCGCCAGTCTGACCCCGCAGGGCAAGCATCTCCTAGGAAGGGATGGCAGGAGGTGGTCAGCTCACCTGACCCCTTTCCTGGTTCCTGAACCAGCCTCTCGCAGCCAGGGGTCAGCAGCGGCCTCACCTCCTCGTGGTTCTTCTTCAGGTAGGCCAGCTCCTCCTTCAGGCCCTCGATCTGCATCTCCAGGTCGGTCCTGGCCAGGGTCAGCTCATCCAGCACCCGGCGCAGGCCGTTGATGTCGGCCTCCACGCTCTGGCGCAGGGTCAGCTCATGCTCATACCTGGCAGGACAGAAGTCGGGGCATCAGGCTCCACCTGGGAGGCTTCTGAGGCTCAAGACCAACGGTCCCACTGCTTGCCTCCTGCCCTCTGCCCCGCACGCAGACCGCCACGGTGGTTGCTCACTTGGTCCTGAAGTCATCAGCTGCCAGCCTGGCATTGTCGATCTGCAGGATGGGCTGAGCGTTCTCGATGGTGGCAGCAATGATCTACAGAGAGGGTGGAAGGACAGGCCTGTTAGCCAAGACTCCACTGCTCAGGGGGGAAGAGCAGAGAGGGAAGAAAGGTAGCTCCCCAAACTTGAGGGTCTCCTAGCTGGCAGGTCAGGCCCTCCGGCCAGCCTGGGTGTCTTTTCCACCCAGCTCAGGGTGTGTGGAGGGATGCCCCCAAGTCTCCTGCCACCCCATCCTCCATCCCAGGCTGAGAGAAGCTGAGGGTGCAATGCACACTGGCAGGGAATAAGAGAGTCAGGGCTCCAGTCCCAGCTCAGATACCTCAATGCTGAAAAGGGACCCTCTGCCACCAATTCTGAGTGGCCTGTGTGGCCTCTCCCCCAAGGTGGGCTCAGTCCCCCTGTTTGTAAAATAAAGATGCTAGAAAGTGGTTTTCTAAGGGCCGCTGCAGCCATGACCTCTCTCAATGCTCTGCCCACCTGCGCCGCCCACCAGGCCCACACACCTTGCTCCGCAGCTCCTCGATGGTCTTGAAGTAGGGGCTGTAGTCCTTGGTCTCACTGGGCCGCTGCCTCTGGTACCAGTCGTGGATCTTCACCTCCAGGTCGGTGTTGGCCTCCTCCAGGGCGCGCACCTTGTCCAGGTAGGAGGCCAGGCGGTCGTTGAGGTTCTGCATGGTCACCTTCTCGTTGCCGGAGAGGAGGCTGCCATCGCCACCGCCGAAGCCCCCGCCGAAGCCCCCGCCGAAGCCACCTCCAAGGCCACCACCGTATCCTCCACCAAAGCCGCTACCCAGGCCCCCCCCGAAGCTGCTGCTGCTGCTGAAGCCGCCGCCATAGCCGCCCCCCAGGCCGCAGGCCCCCCCGGAGGAGTAGCAGGAGGTGGAGACCGACAGGCCCCCGTAGGCGCTGGGGGCCCGGCAGGACCCTCCGGCCAGGACAGAGGACATGCGGCTGGAGCCACCGCCGATGCAGGAGCCCTTCATGGAGCTGGAGGAGGTGAACTGGCGGCTGCAGGTGGTCATGGTAGAGGAGGGAGGTGAGTGAGTGAGTGAGTGAGCGAGCGAGCAAGTCAGCAGAGAAGAGAAAGGTGCTCAGGAAGGCTGGGAAGATGCTGGGGCTGCTCAAACCCCAGGAACCTTTTATAGGCACTGGGCAGGCGGGGCCTCCCAACTGCTGACTTGCGGGCTCCCCTGCGGATTTCGTCACTCCAGGTCCCGTCCAACTCCCCACTCCGGATCAGGATTATTCAGCCTGGGGTCGACTCACTTCACTGGGTGCCACTTGAGTTCCCACCCAGGTCTGGGGGTGTGGGCCGAGAGAAAAACACAAATGCGAGTCGGTCGTGACTCAGGCTGGGCGGCGGGAACCTGGCTCTCCGTTCCTGGAGCCTCAGGGGCCAGCGGGGCCTTGGCACAGGCAGTCTGTGGCAGCCGCGTCCCCAGGCAGTGAGTCAGCCCATGACGGACTCCCTGCCCCACGGGACAGCCTTGGCGACAAAAGGCCGCAGCAATCATGCCAGCCCGGGGCTGTCTCGGGCTGTGCGGTGGGGTCCTACGTGCCCGGCGCTGGACAGGAGAGCTGGGGTCATCGTTTCACTCTGCTTTGCGCGCTCTGCGGCCTGAGACCCCTTGCCTCCCCTCTCTGGGCCTCGGTTTCCCCTCAGTGAAGTGACAAAGGCTGGACTGGGTGATCTCGGAGTCCTTTCTCGTTCTAAAAATTCTCCGACTCTCTTTCCCTTATTGGATCCAATCCCAGTTTCAGAGGCTGCCTTTGAACCCCCAGTGTCCTCAGAAGTGTTGGGTACCATGGACCCAGCATGTACCATTGAGCGTCCCACTGTGCCCCTTACAAGCCATGCAGCATAGGCAGTCAGTCTTGGGCCTCAGTTTTCTCATCTGTAAAAGGGGATGACACACCACAGAAGAACATGCACACAGGACCACACCGGCAACTCCCCAACGGTGGCCCTGCCCCCAGGTTCCCCATCCTTCCTTTGCAACCAGCTGCCCCCTCCTGCCTCCTCACACCCACCTCTGCACTCTGGCACCTCCCTCCCACAACCCTGCCCTCTCCTCTGTACCCTAATACTCCCACCTTTTGAGCAGTCCATCCCCAATGCATTGCCCTACTTAATCATGGATGCCCACCATAAACTGCGGTGGGAGGGAGTCCCCCCCCCCGCCAGTAGTGCCATGTGTGACCCCTGACCCCACCAGGGACCCCCGAGTTCCCACACTGGATCCAGGGCTCCATTCCCAAGTTTTCTTTTGAGGATCCACAGATTCCAGGCTGGTCGTTCAGTGGAAGAGAGGGTCATTGTATACCATGCTGGGGTATTGTCTGGAGTGCTCTGTGTGTACCACACAATTCCATGAAGGGCAATATTCCTGCCACAGATTCATAGATGAGGCAGCTGGGAGGTTAAGGGGGCTTCCCAAGACCCCAGTCAAGGGGGAGCTGAGGTTTGGACCCCTGCCTGTCTGCTTGTTCAGTCCGAGCCCTTCCCACCATCCTGAGCCACCTCTCTCTCTATGTGCCGCCAATATGCATGATTGTCTTGAATTAGCCCTGTGAAGCGGGGAGGAGAGAGGGAGAACCGGAGGGAGGGGGTGATTCGCCCAAAGTCATTCGGCTTTAAGAACCCCGGGCTCAGGATGTCTCCACTCATCCATGATGCTTTGCAGGCTGGGACCAGGTAAGTCCGTTCTCATTTACCTCCCCACAGTGCCTGGAGTGAGCTCTGCCCACGGTGGGCATGGCCTTGGCCTGAAGGCTGGAGGCAGGATTGGGGGGGAGGATCTAAATCCCAAAACAGAAGCGTCCTCAGTCGGGGTGCTCTGGAGGGTGACCCACAGAACTGGCCACTGTCCTTGCTCTAAAGTGCCTCTGTGGGCTTGCCTCAGCCTGGGCGCTGCTGGGTGATACTACGGGAACCAAGGGACAGGAAATTCACGCCGTGTCAGTCATTCAGCTTGTAGGAACAGGGCCCAGCGGTCTGAGCAGAGCTGGTGCCCAACACACACCTCCAGGGCCAGGTTTGGGAGACAGGACCCGATACTCCCCTTCCCAACCCCCAAAATGGGCCAAATGGGTCCTAGAATCTTGGACAAAACCCCTGCCATCCCAGGTGTCAAGACCTGGAGTTCAGGTCCAACCAGACTCATCACCCTCGGAACGAAAAATGACCTTTGAGGCCACCAAAGGCAACCAAGCCCCAGGCAGAGAGAGTGAAAGACTTGTCCCGGGTTAAATAGCACGGAAACGAGAGCAGCAACATGAACCTGGCTCCAGCACGGTTCCTGAGGTTCACACGGACTATCCCCGGGGTCTCTGGGAGCTCCTCCCTCTCTGCCTCAGCACGCTCTCCACCTCCCTCCCTTCCGATTAGTGCCCTGCCCCTTCCACCGCTCCTGGAGTCCGGGTGGCATTACGCACAGGCCCAGCGCTGATGGCTGGGGATCCACGTGGGCTCAGAAGCTACAGGAAGTTGCCGACCAACCCATCAAACCACTCAGACAACACCACAGACCCAGCACCCACCGTGTGCCTGGCACCCAGGGCATGGGGGGCGGGGAAGATGATGACACAGTCTCTGACCTTGGAACCCACCATGTGACCCTGGAGAGAAAGCTGAGGCCGGGAATAGAGCACTGTGTGGCAGGAAACCCCAGTGTGCTTGGCCCACGGAACGCAGCTGGATAATCGTTCCCCGACCCTGAGGCTCAGCAGGAAAGGAAGGAGTAATCGGGAGAGGCTCCAGCTGGGCCTCAGAAGATCTGAGCCGGCAGAGAAGGAGCAGGGGCATTTATTCCATGCCAGAGAGGCGAGCCTGCCCAGGGTTGCTGAGAGCCAGGATCACTAGGTCTGCGGGCACAGGGACTCCCACCAAACTGTCAGCCCTCCGGGCTGTGGGTTCTTTCCCCCACCCGGGCCTCTTTCCTCTCTCCTTCACCTGCCCCATCTCAGATGTGAGGTCATCTCATACCTGAGTTGTCTGGGAACTATTACAGGCATGCCTCAACATGCAGTGATTCCCCAACCTGACTGATCACCAGGATCCCCATACCAATTCCCGACCTGCTCTGCCCCACTGTTTCAGCATTGCCCAGGACAAGCCTAATCGTGGGGACATTTTACAAGCTCCAGGGGAATTCTGCTGACCAGCCAGGCTGGGAAGCAGGAGGCAGCCTGGGGGGAGGAGGGAAAGAGGGGGAGGCCCTAAGGAGACTGAGGGGAGAGAGGGGGCTGCTGCAGGGTCCCCAGCCCATGGGGCTTCAGGGCAGGGTGAGGAAAGAGAAGATCCGCAATGAGCCAGAACAGAGCGGCAAGCAGGAGCCAGATCTGGGCTGGACACTCAGATACAAAGAACCAAGCAGAGAGGCCCTCAGGGCGTACTTATGGACAACCCCAATACTGTGTGGCCAGGCCATGATGGGGTTCAGGGGGCCTGCAGGGAGGGAGCAGGCTCCCTGGGAGTGAACAAGTGTCCCCAGTCCGGGCTCTGGCCCCACGATCGGTCCCAGGATCTGGGTGAATCTGTGAGTGCCAGATGGCAGGTGGTCCTGTCAACTCCCCCCGTGTTTCATGCCCCCCTTCCAAAGGTAGGGGCTATCACAGCCCATCACACTGGTCTGCAAAACCAAGGGGCCCTCAGGGGAAACTGTTCCCTCAGGGGAACCCTCAGCAGAACCAGATCGAGCTCGGTCACAGTCTCTCCGTTCTCAACCTCCCACCCACCCTGCATAAGGACAGCAGGAGTATTGTCAGCCCCACCACCTCTAAACTGAGGTCCTCCAGGGTCCCTCCAGGCCAGGGCATGTGTCTCCTTGTGCCCAGACCCAGTGCGGAAGCACAGAGTGACGCCGTGTCCTGGACAGAGTGTTACTGCCACATGGTCTCCTTGCAGAAGGCGCTGCCGGCTCACACTGTCAGGGTGTGGGCGTGGCAGAGGAAGAGTCACAGGGTCTGGCTCCGGCTGGCCCTGGGCCTGGAAATCAGGTGTGTGTGTCCATCACATGAGGGTGGGTAAGGCCGCGCTGAGGGCGGTTACAGACCTCACTGATGGGGCTGAAATATTTCGTGGAGGGCGATGGGTGGACGTGGCTGAACTGTGGAGTCCCACAGCTGGGTCCCCCAGTCCAGCCACAGGCACACGTCCCCAGCAGCCTGGGTTGGCTCGGGGTGCCTGGACAAAAAATTCCAGCCACCAAAATTCCCCACACCATCCCCAAGGGTCCCCAAGGGGACTACAGGTCTCAGCCCCCAGTCACTCCCTCCTGTGGCCCTACCTGCCCAGGTGTGGCTGAGCATTCCTAGAAAGAGTGGGGCTTCCACTCTCTGGACCCAGGACCATCCCCTGGGGACCCCCATCGTCCTGAGCCCCACCCTGAACCACTTTGTGGACAAGGCCTTCTTCCCCAGCAGAAGGGCGCAGTCCAGGGCTATCTCTGACCACTCCCCCACTGTGACCCCTCCCCACTCAACCCATCAGTAGGGGTGGGCCCCCAGAATCTGCAGGGAGAGAAGGCCCCTGCCTGGGAGCCTGGGGCAGGGCAGGGGGTGGGGGCTCTCCTCTACTCTTCCCAGCACAACCCAGAAAGGGCTGAGTCATGGATGCTTGGAGCCTCAGTGTCCCTGTCCACACAATGGGGCACTTCTTCCCAGACCCTCCCTGCTTCCTGGGACTGTTGTTCAGATAAATGAGATCACCTCCAAATGAGCCATCCTCAACCTGGGGCTGGTTCTTCTGGTTGGGGCTGGAAGTGCAGTGGGGCCTGGTGGGAACAATACCTCTCCCTGCCTGCCCTCCTTCACTGCTGGGAGACACCGGCCTCTGATGGAGCGGAGTCCGCACTCCCAGCCTGCTCTGAGCCCTGCGGTCGCCTCTGCAGACCCGGGCTCCGGACTCTAGCCGGTCACAGCCGGTCGTCCCTGCCACAACAAGGAACTCGCTGTCCTCGTTGTCCCCGGGATCAGGGCTGGAAGGACCAACAGCTGGGGCTCATCTCTCGCCTCAGTTACTGTAGCCTCTGAGGTACGGAGCAGGCCTGGGACCTGTCCAAAGTCCCACACCCACCTGCTCACCTCACAGACCATGCTCTTATCACCACTAGTCCCCAGCCCTGCACCACCCCGCCCCCCAGGCAGCA